TAGAATGTAAACAAATGCTAAAAAATCGTTATTTTCATGGTTTTTCAGCGCTATTTTCACTTATTTTTGTTATTTGACACTATTTAGACGAATAGGCAAGTTTTCCGAAGCATAAAATTGAAGATTTTCCGCCAAAATAGAAACTTCCCGATAACATCGGAAATGACGTTCTAACATCATTTTAAAATATTCGATATCTAAACCAGAAAGTGTTAGATAGAAATAGACTTATTTATAGAACAATCCCCTATTTCTCACCTCAGGGAAAGTCATAAAACAGTTGGGTGCTAATGACTTTGTGAAAGGGAAAAAGTTCTACACTTAGAAACTTCGAAAGAAGGGATTTGGCCTGTACCGTCCGCGGGCCGCATAAACATTGATAGGGGGCCGTATGTGGCCCGCGGGCCGCAGGTTGTGCACCCCTGACTTATTAATAAAATTTTAAAAATAAACTAAACTCACTTCTCCTTTATCAGTGAGAAAAATATTATGCATGGCACCAGCAGCAATGTCAACCACATTATGATCCGTGGTTAGTAATTTTGGACGAACAACTTCTGAAATTTCATCCGGATCAAATCCAATTTGTCCAAATGCATTTTCACCACATACTAATATGTCACTAACAACTTGTTTAGCTGGTATTACTTGTAACAAATCTGAAATTATTATAATAGTAAATAACTATAAATTATAAATTTTATTACTATAACAACATATACTACATATATTACTATAACTGATTTTGACTTTACCATATTTTTTCTTTTTTGATGATACAGCTTCTTCAATCTTGGATCTTTTTTTGGTTTTCATTCTACTTTGATTTGCTTTTGTCATTTTATTGCTGGAGTTTGACTGTTTAAAAAATAGCTATTAATTGAAAAATAACAGTCGACAAATAATCTTTTTATTGTAATGATTAAATTAATCTCATCTGAAAAATAACACGTAAAAGCATGGTTCTCATTAGACCGATTTTAACTACCAATTAATAAATAAATTTATTGTAAACACAAATGACCAATGATAATTAAACAGAGAAGAAGTCTTTAGAACAAACACAATTCATTTACAATGAGACTATCACTATAAAAAGGAATTAATCTTATGATAAATCATGAAATGTTTCAATTAATGAAAACAAGATCACTAAATGGAAAGACACAATAGAAACTATTTCATTAACATCTTACATTTTTTATACAGGATATTAAAAAAAAGCATCCAACATTTACACAATAGCTAGTGCACACCATACTGAATGAAAACATGTTATTAAACATAGGTTAAAAATAAGTAAGACAAAACCTTTCACACTTTGTTTCTAGCAGTTTAATTACTAAGTACTGTACAAATGTTTTTGGCTATTTTGAATGGACTTCTTCGGGTACAATAAGGTCGGTTGGAATGTCGGTTAGCAGATATTGAGACGTCGTCACTATTTAAAAAAGTTTTGTCTAAACTCCATTATCAACAATGAAATCACTAGTAAAAAGAAACCTTTTGTATATAGTGACAGCGTCTGAATATCTGCTAACTAACGTTCCAACAGACCTTATTGTACCTGAAGGAGGCAATTCAAAATGGCCAAAAACATTTGTACTTGGTGATTAAACTGCTAGAAACAAAGTGTGAAAGGTTTTGTCTTACTTATTCTAAGTAGTTCTAGCTTTGAATGCATAGATAGCTTAAAAATTCAACCATTTCTGAAATGTTAATTATCTTGTATGTTAGTAGCAAGACTCACTTACTGGATTATGTTGCATGTAACTTAAAAAGAGAGGAATCTTGCAAATCTTTTCCTTGATATTTACAGGTGTTTCACATGTCCTCTTTTCATTTCCATGTATGCTTGGCATCATCATCTTACAGAGTTACAAACTCTTCAATAATTCTATATTTGTTAAATTATTTTGCTCAAAAATAGTTAAGTTATCAACCTGTATTTACTAAGGATTTTTTATTTAGTATGATTTGTATTATTTATCATATAAATATTGAATGCCCTTTTTAACATCTTTTAACAGCATTACCATTAATAATGCCAAAAGATCAGCTGAATTATTATCTGGCAAAGCTTTAAGCATTGCTATCATTTTGATAATACAAGTTCACAAGCAAAGCATAAAAATCTGTCTTTAACTTATGTCAAACACATTCCAGAAAGGATTTCCTAATAAAAATTTGTTTGAATAAAATAAATAACTTACTGGAATATAAATACTTAAAATAATCAAACACCTTAGTATTTCCAGCAACAAAGTATTTAATAAAAATAAAAACGTTTTTGATTATATTTAATAGTCTTCTTCAGTTAAGTCACTTTAAAACTAAAACGAACGTAAAATAGAATGCAAGCAATACAACGGTTTAAAAATTGAAATTAATTACTACAAAATAAAATAAAACATAAAAAACAAAATTAAATTACAATAAAATATTAAGAAAAATTAATCGTGGTAAAGAATTAAATTAAATAAAGTATTAAGAAAATTAATTGTCTTAATTTTCAGGACAGACTTTCTGCGTCTCTATGGTTGATGCATCCTTTGTTAATATGAGCCTTGTAAATTTCAAGTTTTTCAATATGTTTAAGTACTTGTTTGTTGGTGGCTGTCCTAATTATGGATGCTTTGTCCCAATGTACATTAATATTTTGATGTTTAGCGAAGGCTGCAAGGACGGTGCTGTCCACGTTTTTAGTAATAGAATACTTATGTTCTTTAAGCCTCTGTTTTAAAAGTCTCATAGTGGCACCAATGTAAATGAGATCTGAATTAAAATGGCGGTGACTTAAAGGAATAGAATAAACTCCTTCCTTTCTTCTTATCATTTCGTAAAATTCTATAAATCGTAGGATTACGACGATAAATAACTCTTAAATTATTCTTGTGAGATAATTTTTTAATCATCGATTGTAGGAAAGGTATATAGTTGAGAACTACTCTTTGTCCTTGGTTCTTAGTTGTAATCAAACAAATAAGCAACCTACAACTAAGAACCAAGGACAAAGAGTAGTTCTCAACTATATACCTTTCCTACAATCGATGATTAAAAAATTATCCCACAAGAATAATTTAAGAGTTATTTATCGTCGTAATCCTACGATTTATAGAATTTTACGAAATGATAAGAAGAAAGGAAGGAGTTTATTCTATTCCTTTAAGTCACCGCCATTTTAATTCAGATCTCATTTACATTGGTGCCACTATGAGACTTTTAAAACAGAGGCTTAAAGAACATAAGTATTCTATTACTAAAAACGTGGACAGCACCGTCCTTGCAGCCTTCGCTAAACATCAAAATATTAATGTACATTGGGACAAAGCATCCATAATTAGGACAGCCACCAACAAACAAGTACTTAAACATATTGAAAAACTTGAAATTTACAAGGCTCATATTAACAAAGGATGCATCAACCATAGAGACGCAGAAAGTCTGTCCTGCGCGTGGAAATCTTTTTACCGCGACAATTAATTTTCTTAATACTTTATTTAATTTAATTCTTTACCACGATTAATTTTTCTTAATATTTTATTGTAATTTAATTTTGTTTTTTATGTTTTATTTTATTTTGTAGTAATTAATTTCAATTTTTAAACCGTTGTATTGCTTGCATTCTATTTTACGTTCATTTTAGTTTTAAAGTGACTTAACTGAAGAAGACTATTAAATATAATCAAAAACGTTTTTATTTTTATTAAATACTTCGTTGCTGGAAATATTAAGGTGTTTGATTATTTTAAGTATTTGTTTGAAGTCTAAATGGATCAAAATAAATTATATTTCTGCATAAACTAAACAACACAGGGAAAACAAAATCATAATATACTAAAAAATATACATAAAACTAGAAACAAAATATTAGGAAATATCTCCATTGAAAAAATCTTGTAAATATACAACTGCCATTTTTCCACATACAATACAAAGAATTATATTATAAAACCAAGAAACTATACCTGAAGAAATATTTGCTAAGAAGTCATTGGAAATACTGGAAATAACTGAATCAAAACTTTGTCTAATGTCTATGACATATACCAATAATTTCTTTTTAAATAATCAATTGTAGTAAACTGAATGTGGGCATGGCAAAAAAATTAAATGAAGTTGTGGTGACCAACACACTTCATCAAGAAGAAGACACATATAATTGTATGAAGAAGAAGACACATGTAATTGGACTCTAAAGTTTCAACTTCTGGTCAAGAAATGTCTGGTCATTTTACTCATTACATTCTTAGAGCGTGTTAGAGATGGAACACGATAGTACCTGTACAGTCTCCTTATCTGACAATATTTTGTATCTTACTGTAGTGTTGCTCCTAATGTTACTGAAGTGTTTTTCTTTACATTATTTCAATCCATTTCAATTATTATTTGTATAGGATTGAATGCTCATTTCACAGATGCAAGCAGATTGCTACGGTAACCTATTGCAACAACAAAGTAAACTAATAAAATTAATCAAAATATTGTACTGGAAATAATTTATTAATAATGAAAAATTTTTACAGTAAAATCTGCAAATTCCATTTTTCAGATATAATTGAAAATTCATAAAACAAAATAAAAATTAAATTTATCAGAAATACAACTGTTTTGTATAAGTGCATCTTTTAAATTAGAATATTTAGGGAAATGAAATACCATTTATTTCAAGAAGTGCTTTAACTGATGCTCTTTTATGCAAAGTTTTATCTCTGAAGAAATTGATATTACAAATCAATCAAATTCTATGAAATTTCTAACTTTTCAATTTAAAATCTGAAAAACAAGATTCACATTATATATTGTACCAATGCATAAGTTATATAGACTGTTATTAATACCTGATTGGTTGCTATCATTAAGCAAGACAATGAATGACTCATGTAAAACAACTTACTTCTCACTCTGTCATAAATTGAAATTTTATTGTTAGAAATATATTGTTTTAACTACAAAATATTAGAAATTGAGAACAAAAAAATCTGTATAAAGTGCACTTTATCCAAGTCACATGATGATAAAGTAGGCATCATACAAAAATGAATGGACAAAGCAAGAACAAGCTTAAAATTTCATTGCTTTTGTCTACCCTGTTTTGGATAAAACACGGAGAAAATTTAGAGTTTTATTTTACTGGATAAACTGTGATCTTTTCAATGCAAGTTGGATGGATAAAAAAGTTTGTTTTTTTAAAATCAACTAGAATTTATTATTATTTACTGCATAAAAAATGAAATGAATGAAAATAAATGTGGCCAGTTATTTCACCAAAATATCAGACTGAGCTTAAAAAATCTTACCTTTAAAGCTAAAAATTTAGCTATAAAGTAACAAAAAAGGATTTTAATTTACAGAATATCAGTACATACATAGATCTTAAACAGCTTATCTAGCATAAGTAGTCATTGAAAATCTTTAAACAAGTGAAACAAAAGAAAAAAAAATTACACACAATAAATAAATGTTCTAGTAGAATGCAAGAACTTCTGAATATTAATGCTGTCTGTTAATTTAATGTAAATTAAATTAATTTATTCAACTTTACCTGATATTTTCACTCTAAAAATATCAAATAATTCATTCCATCTTCTTAAATTTAATAATCATCTATAAAGAAACGACATTAAATGTAAACCTAAAATAAGAAATATTTTAAAATTAATTTTATTTTTGAATAATATATATATATATTTATATATATTATTCAAAATATTATGATACAGTTGACCCCCCTATAACACTGTTGATTTTTTCTGTTTTATATAAATTTCATGTTGTACGAGTCACTTAGATTTCACAAATACGTGTGCCGGGCTGTAAATGGCTCACGTATTTGTAAAATCTAAGTGACTCATACAACATGGAATTCATATAAAACGGAAAAATCAACAGTTTTATAGGGGGGGGTCGACTGTATTTTAATATTTTACAATATATTAACTTTGGAGAATATATATATATATATTCTCCAAAGTTAATATATTGTAAAATATCTTAACCAAATAGCTGAATTTTTTCAGATTATAACTGCTATATTTTAAATCAATTATTAAATAATTCAGCCTAAGAATAGGCAATGCCAGTATCTTGTATCTATTTTAATAATTAGAATTTAATTTTAATAATTTTAAAATATCTGAAAAAAAAAATCTGAAGTAGGACTCAAATCTATTCTAAAACAAGACAGGTAAGTTATTACACATTATTTGGACTTCCAAAAAACTAAGCCAAACTTCTACATAGTGTAATTTGGACAAATAACTTGCGATGATATATAGTTGTAGGAAATAGCAAGAATGAACTGTATCATACCATATCCTATGCCTCCAGGGAAGTCATTGAGAGCAAGATAATCCACTATGTTATTTAGAAGTTGCCATCTCAAGTTTTAAAATATTGCTTTATATTTTTCATTTGTTAAAAAATCATTGTAAATATACATAAACAACCAAGCCCAAATATTCTATACTAATCATATTAATTTCTAGATTTTTTGGACTATAGTTAATAATGTTATTTAATAATTATTAATTTTAATTCAAAATAATAATAATAATAATAAGATTGAAACTAAAGACGACATTACATTTTTGTTTTATTTTTTAAACTCTAATGTAGAAATCCATTTTTCATTAATTAAACATTTGTATAAAATTTAAAATATTAAATAATTTTCAATCCAAGCATGCATTAGCAAAGATGCTTAAGATGCTTGTGTGTATGATCCTTAGCAGGGAAGTGGCTATTGAAAAATCCTTCTGAAATACCGAGAAATTTACCAATGTACTCAATGGCCACTTTGTAATTCAATTGCAGATATTTATAAATTGTCCCAATTATATAAATTAAATATAGAAATAAATACCATTTATCATTTTTATTTTATGACCACAGATCTGTAATTTTCTTTGTCGAGTAATAATAAAATAAACTTGAAGAAAATTAAACAGATAAATATCAATCTTAATATATAATTATTGATCTAGTCAGTCAGTTGCCTGCCACCTGCCAGTCATGTAATGTGAATTAACTAATTCATTATTGAAATTTAAAATTGGCCTATAACCCAACCTCTTTCTAACACTGATAACAGTGTTGTGGAGTCAGAGTCAGATGTTTTTTGGGTGGAGTCAAAGTCAGTAACTCTAAGTTTACTATTGGTAAAATGCAAAGAAAAATACTTTTTAATTAATTAGTATCTAAAGAAATTTCTTAGAAAACAAACACTTTGATAAATTTAGATATTAAAATGAAATTAACCTGTAAAGGCCATTTCATAGCAAAATGTTATGCTTATCTCACATGACCATGTTGTATACTTTTGGAAAATAACCTTTATTAATTTTAATGCCCACCAGTGGCCATGTGGATAAACCACTAAATATTTGTAGTTAATTGTGGGATTGCACCTGGAAAGTATATACTTATGGTATCACTTTGAAGCACCAAGCTTATCTTTACCAAAGAGAAGCTCCCAAGAAAAATTTGACTTTCATTTCAGATGCCATAATTTTTACTTGGCACAATATTTTTTTACATCTCAGATGTTTTACTTTGGATATCAATTGCTTTTTGACTAATTTATCTTTTTACTGTCCTTCTATTAATTTCAAATTGATTATCTATTACAGCTTTGACAACATTATTTGTTCTTAAAACAGTCTATAGAAAAACAACGAAAAAAGTAAAATCAAGATCAGAATCTAACTGCAACAAACTAAAAGAGGAAGAAAAAACTGAAAAATGTAATTAACAGGATTATTTCAGCTTATTATTATTATTATTATTATAAATAAATTGTTTAATACTGGGATTTTTCCAAATGAATTAAAGCATAATCTTGTTTCACCAATTTATAAGAAAAAAGGAACCAAATCAGATATTGAAAATTATAGACCAATTATTATAATTCCAGCTGTGGCTAAGATTATTGAAATATTTTTTTAATACAAAATTTAGCAACTATGTTAGTAAAAATAAAGTAATTCACAATAATCAATACAGTTATAAAAAGAATTTCTCCACTACTGACAGTTTGTTACATTTCAAACAACTAGTTACTATGGAACTTAACAAATTCCATTCAGTTGTATCAGTGTATTTGTTGATCTCTCTGAAACTTTTAATAGTGTCGATTTTGCATTCTTGGAAACAAATTGAAAAATATAGGATTGAGAGGTACACCATGTGCTGGTTATCATCTTACTTGTTAAATGATAAATATTATCTGAAAGTGAACAACTCTATTTCAAAATTATTTTGAAATAGAGTTGGATGCAACTTAACAACATCATTGTTGTCAGGGCTGACAAAACTAAAGCCATGGTTCTCATGAAGCGTGACACATATGAAAGGAGCCTACAAGAATACATATCACTTAGCCACTGCGATAGGGTGGACGAAGGCTTTATTGATAAGCTACATTCCAGAGTGAAGCAGTTCACCTGTACCAGTCTCACTAAACACTTGGCACTTGATAACTTAGCCATTGACTCCCATGACGTCCCTAAATTATTTGCCTTTGCAAAGACACACAAACTGGGTCAACAGCTCCACCCAGTCGTGGACAAAGCAAGAGTGCCTACACGGAGGCTGGAGAAGACCATGCACACCCTTCTCGCTCCACAATTTGAGGGATACCCTTACACCATCGCTAGTCCAGTGGAGCTTATAACACACTTAAAAGAGCTCACATCCCCCCGTTACATCATGATGTTAGACTTTAAGTCCATCTACCCCTCCATTGAGCACCCACCTGCTTTCTGTACTCTCAGGGACATTTTGTTTCATATTGTCAGGGATCACACATTACACAACCAGTTGCTAGAAATGGCACATTTGATATGTTATAATTCTGTGTTTCAGTTTGACGGCGATGTCTACACACAAGGCCGAGGGGTTCCCATGGGCAGCCCTGTTTCAGGGAATCTCTGTGAGATGGTTGTCCGGCAGTTGGAGAACAAGGTCCTCCCTCAATTCCTCCCCAACATCCAATTATATAGGAGGTATATTGATGACATTATTATTTTTTGGAAAAATGTGCCGGATATAACAGCCTTAGTAGATTCTTTTAATAGTAACCCCTATGGGTTGATGCTAGAAATAGAACAATCTGACCCCACCGAAGTCCATTTCCTGGATATAAATATTAGAGTAGAAAATGAAGGCATCCACAATTCAGTGTAACATAAACCAGGATCAATCTCTTCATACATCCCGGTAGGGTCATGCAATCCAGTTTTGTACAAGACTGCGGCATTTAAAGCCTTAATCAGAAGAGCTTTCACACATTCTTCTAATATCCAGGCTTGCGATAATGAGCTAGCGTCTATAGAGCATGTAGCTGCAGAACATGGTTATCGCAAAGTTATACATAAGATGATACAATGTTATCTATAATACATTGATGGACAGCACGCCGAACGTTGTATCATAGAAGAAACTTTTAACATATACGCGTTAAATTACAAATAAATGTCGCTAAATCGACAAGCGCTTTCGACGATAATTATTTTCATCTTCATCAGGTTGTTAATACATTTAAAATCCTTTTTTTAAATACAAATAACAAATCGTTCCAAGCGTATTAACGTTTTGGAGTGAGAGCAACGGTAGAACGTAAGAAAATTTTTTAATGAAAACACGCACGGTTATAATGTGCATGTGTTAAACGCCTCCAAATTGTGCAGCTAGATACGTTGTTTTAGATGGTTATACAAATTGATCCACAAAGGGGGCAAATCAAGTGTGGGGGTGTTGCAGGGCTTTAATATGTTGGTAAAAAGGGCTTCCCAAATATACTCAAGATTTCTGTTATTGCAATGTCTTAGAATGGCCACTTCGCCCCACAACGGGGTATGTTGGTGTTGTAACACCATTCTAGCGAGTTCGGTTTCATTCTTGCCTTCCCTGATAGAATATTGATGCTCTAAATTACGATGCGACAACCTTCTTGTTGTCTTATCGTATTTTAGATCATCAATATTTTATCAGGGAAGGCAAGAATGAAACCGAACTCGCTAGAATGGTGTTACAACACCAACATACCCCGTTGTGGGGCGAAGTGGCCATTCTAAGACATTGCAATAACAGAAATCTTGAGTATATTTGGGAAGCCCTTTTTACCAACATATTAAAGCCCTGCAACACCCCCACACTTGATTTGCCCCCTTTGTGGATCAATTTGTATAACCATCTAAAACAACGTATCTAGCTGCACAATTTGGAGGCGTTTAACACATGCACATTATAACCGTGTGTGTTTTCATTAAAAAATTTTCTTACGTTCTACCGTTGCTCTCACTCCAAAACGTTAATACGCTTGGAACGATTTGTTATTTGTATTTAAAAAAAGGATTTTAAATGTATTAACGACCTGATGAAGACAAAAATAATTATCGTCGAAAGCTCTTGTCGATTTAGCGACATTTATTTGTAATTTAATGCGTATATGTTAAAAGTTTCTTCTATGATACAACGTTATTGCCAGATGTATTCGGATAGTGCACAGGTGGTGGACCAACTGATTGATAACCAACCAGAAGACATAGAACAGATCCCCATCACCTTTAATTCATACTTAAGATCTATATATGCCAAGGTTGCCAGGAAGTGCCAAATATGTATCGCTTTCAGGAGGTGTCCTACTATTTTTAGCATCTTACATAATGGGAAGGGCCCTCCTAACCCCAGCAGACGACCAGGAGTCTACAGTGTCCCTTTAAGAGATAACAGATTCAATAGGGACTTTATATATATAGGCTCTACTAAACGGCCCATAGGCATCAGAATGCAGGAACATCAGGCTGATATTCATCACAGGAGAACCACCACGGCCCTCGCAACTTACGTAACAGACCTGGACATAGTAGCCGACTTTACTCGGGTCAATCTCCTCCTCGCTGTACCTCCCAATGAACATTTCAAATGGGTAGAGGCTATACACATCTTTAAATCCTCCATCAAAACCGTATGCATAAATTTTAAAGAGGAGATGCTTTTGTCGATGGCCTGGCAAGAGTTGATTCACAGCACGCTCTAGCAGCTTGTTGTATCGGGCAGGCATAAAAATTTTTTGTAATTTGTTTCAAACTCAAGAACAAACTCTTAGTTAAACGGCATTCATTAATTGAATCTCCAATCTAAAAAACCGTTGGAACCTGATGCAGAGCACAGAAGCGGTTCGAAAACATTCGTTTTTTTCAATATTTTTTGATGTTACCACACCGTAAATTGGTTCCGCACATGCAAATTTTAATTATTTATATCTAACAAAGGAGTCCCTCAAGAGTCCAGTTTAGGTCCCTTATTGTTTAATATTTATGTTAATGACGTTTTTGAATTTCTATCAGAAACCAATCTTATAATGTATGCAGATTATATTGTAATATCATACTTGGACTGGAATACAAGGCTTATTCAAGATAATTTTAATAATATATTAAAACAATTAACTAAATATCCCAAAATTAATAATCTGTGTATCAATACTAATAAGACTAAATTTCTGTTTTACAAACAAAAATAAGTATGTACAGCAGGGGTTCTCAACTGGGGTCCATGTAACATTACTGGGGGTCCACAGAAAAAAAATACCGAATTACGGTTCACGGTGATATTTTAGTGGTCTATAGGGTAATTCTACTTCAGAACAATTGTTTCACTGAAAATTAAATTTATACAGTACTGTATACACAGTACATTGTCAATTTACAATTTATTTATTACTCATTTCTTGCAAAAGAGTTAAAATATAAATTATTTAAAATGTTGAATACGTGAACGACATATATATTTCATTGACAAAAGTCAAAGAGAGATTATAAAACCGGGAGGGTCTGTTAGGAGAATCTTATACCATCAGTGTCACGTCACTTGACAGTGACATTTCTGAACATTTTGTGTCAGTTTGTTTCAGATCTTAAAGATTAGGGAGGGAGGCAATAAACTTTATAGCCTCCCTCCACTATAAAGGTAATCAATTTATTTTAACCCTAACCTTCAGTTCTGTGCAAAACTCCATCTTGACCAGGTAAGAGGTATTAAAATTGCTAGTTCATAAAAACAGTAGTTACTTTTTCTGAAATTCAGAGCTTCAGTATGAAAATATTTTTCCAATTTGAAACAATGTAACAAAAAATATATAAGATTTTTTTCTGCGCAATGTATGAGGATCCACAAAAATAAAAAATAAGAGGAAAAGAGTTCACGGGTTAAAAAAGTCGAGAACCCCCAATGTACACGGCGATTCAAAAGTCACAGAAATTTTTTAAAAATTAATAACTCACAAACTATTTACAGTAAGATGATGCAGTTTTCACAGAAATGCTTAGAAAGAAGTGGGATTTTTTTTAAGTGTAATAAAAATTTTGTATCAAAATAGTTACATTTCTTGCCATAGATGGCACTTGGTAAGATTACATAATTTGTGTAGTTGTTACTAGAGCTTTATACTAAGAACATTTTTATTTTTTAATAAGTTGCACTGCACCAAACCGAAAACAATAAGCACGAGACTGTATTACTGCTTCATATTGTATGTTTGCTACGAAAGAAATTAATTCGATTAATTCGATTTATTCGACATTTTCAAAAACACAAAATAATAAATTCTATTTATTACTCTTTTTTCTATGATAAATGTCCTATTTGATATATCGGATATCTTTTATGCAGCGATTTAAATTCGTCAATCCGCCGCGTAGCGCATTATATATTGTAATATTAATTAACACGAAATTAGCAATCCGAAAGTTGAGCAATAACCTTCATCTGACCGGTACTTGTATAAAATTTACCCTAACCGATACCTAATCATAACTCGGTCAACAGAACCACGTGGAACACTTTTATTAGCACTAATTTTTGCATCATTTTAACAAATTATTAAAACAAAATAATAACTTGGAAATACAAAAAGGTTGGATTTTGGAAAACCGAATGAACTTACTTTTAACACGATTTCACGGACAATTAACGAAACTTCGTAATAAATAGCAACGCTTAATATTTCAAAATCTTAACAGAAATCGAACCCCGCCAAATTACCACGCATGCTCTCTACCATAACCAACAATATTAACTTCGAGCTAACTTGGGCCCAAAGATAGCCAAAGTGGAAAAAGCAGTACGCGCGTGGAACACTTTATTGTTCACCGTAGAAAGTATTTAATTTCGCGAATCAAAATGTGCTTTATTTTTTAATGTATTTTTATCTTAAACTTCAGCAAAAATTTAAAATACTCTAACGTAAACTATTAATGTCGAAATTCACAAGACTGTATCATAAGTAATTTTCAATATTTATGTGAGACAAATATAATTTAATAAAATTCAAATAGCGTATAATCACGCAATTATCTCAAATATTAGAAAGTGTAAAATTCAACGTATCCTATAATTTAATTCTGAAAACAGAATTACTCTTTCTGACTCACTACTTCTTCAATACCAAAAAGTCAGTAAAATCGCACTGTTTTCGTATGTTATTTTCACATTACGCTGTGTATAATTTGTAATCATAAAAATTTCTTTTTCTAGGGCTCCGGATTTACCAAACTAGTGCAACCAATTTGATGGCGGCATTTTCATATTTTCATAAAATCGTTTTCGCGATTTATCTTTCCTTCTAGAAAAGTTGTGTAGCCACTGATTTAATAAATAGCAACGATTTGAATATATGAAGTGATTCCGATATTTTATACCAATGTAATGTAGCCAAATCCTTCATCTTTCGTTGTTTTTATTTTTGCTAGGTAAACTATAAAACAAGTCACTTTTCTTCTGTTGATTACAAACATTCATTTGCACGGCAATAACTTGTAAGGCATTTTTCAAAATATGGTAAATATGGTATATACAGTGGAACCTGGTTAACTCGAACCGATATAACTGGAAATTGCATTTATTCGAATTATTTTCTTTTCCGGTCGTCCAGCATAGCGATTTACACGTTAGATCAAACTTGTTAACTCGAATGAGATTTTGATACGATATTTTCATAAACAAATTTTGGGTTTAACTTTTCGTTCAATTACATAATTATTAACGTTTAGCTATCGAATAACCTAATTAGAAACATTCTATAAAACGCGGGAACCTCGTACGACTAAAAATAAACATCGTATGGTGTGACGGCGGGAGGAGTGGTGGCTTCTAGATGATGTATTTGACTTAAAATACTGTAAGTGCCATTCGAACTTTCCTTTTTTCGAACATTTTGTTTTGTTTTATTTGATTGCCGATAGATTTGCCCCATGGATAAATTAATTAATTTAAACAAAAAGACTATAGTCCGATTCTATGTAAAAATTTTAACCTTTGCGGCAAACTTTTAAAAATATAACAATCGTAAAGTAATTTGTGATAAAAAAAAAATATTTAAAAAATTGATTCTAGGCGCAAAATATCACATTTTAAAAATTCCTTACTAAACACTTCGGTAACTTATCTATTCGGTTAACCGTTTTCGAATTTCTGGAAACACCCATAGGTTTATGTATATACTGTACAGTAAGATTTTAATAATAAAACTTTAAACTCGAATACATATAACTTAAACAATGGAAATACAGTAAGACCCTGCTTAACGCGGAAGATGCGTCCTTAGATGACAAAGACCTAAATGAAACAGCGTTAAACGAGGTAATTTTAACACATAGTAAATAGAGAAAGGGGAACACGCGATCAAAAATAAACAAATTTTACTTTAATTTTAAGTTATTTTTATTTTAATTAGCATAATAATATACATTAAATAACATCTAAACATATGCACATAGAAATGTAAAGTTCATTTTTTGTGATGAATGTCCTGGCTCACCTGAAATTTCATTTGTCGCTTTCTTTTTCTTTCCTTAAATTAAGCAAATGTCAATAGCAGGAGATCGCATCCAAAACGCCTCGTCTCGCTTTTGCACTCTTTCCAAAATCTGGATCATTCGCTACAATTTGATCAACGATTTCGATTATCGTTACCAAACTTTTACGAAGGAAATCTGAAGAGAAATTCTTTGGGTTCTTCGTTTTCAGAATCACTATTTTCCAGTTCTACACGAATTCCTTGTTCTGACAGTTCTTGAAGGTCGGACAGTTCTGGAAGTTCTTGAAGGTTTGTGAGGCCTTCACCAGAAACCCTCAATATCCTGCTCGTCTACGTCTCCTAGTCTTGCTGATTAGGTCGACAATTTGGTCGACAATAGGCTCTTCTCGTTGAGAATTCTTGGATACCTCCGGCCACGCCTTCTTTCACATTCCGTTTATGCATTTATCACTTAATTCTTGCCAAGCCAAGTCGATATTGCCTATGGCATCCACAATGTTATATTTTTTCACAAATTTCACCAAACAAACATAGATTTAAGGAGAATACAGCGCAACGACGAATTGCCACATTTCGCTGATTGTTTGGTGTTCGGGAATAATCGTATTATATACGGATCAATGGAATGCCACGATAATTTGAATCGGCGTAAATTTTGCGCTTTTTTCAGGCTTCGAGCAGACCGCATTATATCACATTAATCGAGGATGTGCTAAATGAGGACTTACTGTATGTATGTATGTATATATACACTGTCTACTTGGACCTTATTTATTAATAGGACTTATTATACTGGTTTAGTTTCTAATTAGCAAAGAGAGGAAATCTTAGTCAAAAGTCAAAACACAATATCTTTATTTTCACCTGACAGGAGATTAACGAAGAATTCCAAATCCTTTTTTTCAGTAGCTTCCATTTTGACTTGTTGATTCGCATGGGCGTAGCGAGGGGGGAGCCTGGGTGGGCACGGCCCCTCCCAGGGAACCTGGTGCCCCCCCAGGAAATCACAGCCGAAAAAGTGTTGAGTCGATTTGTAAACACCTAAAGCTAAAATAAAAGTTTTGAATACAAAAAAAAAAGGTAAACGGCTTGCTCGGTACCCAATAATGAACAATAATTTGAAATAATTCAATTTTGTGTCAGGTCGGCCTCCACTAGCCCCCATAACAAAACTCTGGCTACGCCCATGTTGATTCGTCAGTACTGACGAACTATGAACATTTGAATGGGACACCATTCAAATGTCACTTCGGCGATAGGTCGAACTTTATCGCACGATTATTTGATCAATCTGAAAGGAAACTTTTTAAAATTGAAATGCAAATTATGAAACAAAAACAATTCAAATTATTTAATTTAATGCCTGTCTTGACTTAAAACAGATCTAATACTTTTTACTGTATTCAAGATAAAATATCCTAGATTTTTTTTTTATATTTCAATTCGTATGAAATGCAATTTGTATCATAGTCACTAATTTTTTTTTTACGGGTTATCTATCGATATCCTCATACGACGGCCAAATGACCGAGGCGGTTAATGCGTCAGCCTACCGCTTTGGGGAAATTGAGGATCGAATCCGACGGTCGAAAAATTCCGCATACATTTTTGGACTGTTGTCTCGGATATGTCGGACTCTGTCCCTCGCCATTCCGTTGCAGCATTGTGGGCCTAGCCCATGGTCTCTAAACAGAGAAAGTTAACTAATTTCCTATTGACTAATCATAAATAAGGCGGAATACCGTCACGAGATTCTTTAACCTTGAATGAATACTGTAACACTATGCGAAAATTTGCTTTTTATTTATTGTTTTCTATTGATTTAACAGTTTATTTATTTATTGCTGCTTTATGATATGTTATCTTTGAGTGTTCCGCGTATAATCAATAAAAAAAGACCAATTAAAAACGAGTTTGCTTTTTATCACGAATATAAACAAACAGTATTCACCTGTGCCGAGTGGATAAAACTAGGATTCGCACTTTGCCAACGGCTGGCCAAGTGGAGTTTTCGGCTTTATTCACAAACGTAATACCTAAATAGGGGGCCATTTTCCAACAAAACATCCTTCCAGGAGGCATTTACCCTCGACAAATCTCCCGCGAGTCGCGTTGCTATATATAAACAAAGAATCCTTATATAAGTACATTACAAAGTTCGTGTTTTCTTTTTGGTCATACGAATTATTGCACAAACCAATACATAAAACTTACATAGGTTACGCATACATTGCATACATAAAGTTCAAAAAACTGTTTAAATAAATCATTTTTATATATTAAAAAATTAATGCGACTAGATGTTTAATATTTGAGAATTTCGTATTTTAAAAAATACTGAAGTAAATCTGCAATCAAATACTATTCATACCAAATACATATCAAATAGACAGAAGCCATTTATTTTTATTTTATTATCTTTTTCGTCCTTTTATAACATTTTCTTGAAGAATCGCTACTTGTATTTTCTCCCCTTCTTTATAGATATGGGCAGTGTTGTGAAAGATCTTATAAAATTTCAATATTTAATTCTTATAAAGAGTCTTTGTCGAATTAATATTCAACTACTGTATTTTATTGATATATAGAAAATTTTCACATATGATCTGTCTTAATAGCTTTATTTCTTCCTCGCTGTTTTCCAACTTCAATTTCAGTTCTGTATTTTTCCCTAATCAAATCATTTATTTTTCAAAAATTTTAGCTCACTTTCGGCAACTGTTGAAAACATCTTCACACTGACTCAACATTTCAAACGTATCATTATAAAAATCTCTGTACATATGTGTACATAAGTATTAAAGAATATTCACCACTTTCTTCTAACTTTAGTTTTCTGGAGGAGATTCATTATTTTGCTGCAATGTCTTCTATCTTTATAGAAGTCCTCGGGTTTGAAGTGTTTACTGCATATTCGGTGTTGATATTAATTTTACCACGTTTTTATCATCTTTCCCATTCTTTACTCAATCCTGTTTGTTTTTTAAAATTATATTTATTATAGAAGTTGCTTCTACAAACAGCAACGCTAAACATCATACCCAGCATCTTAAATATTAATAAAAATTAAACGTAATTGAATTAATTTCACTCTAAAATACAAAGTTTGCCAGATCTCGAACAGCTATCTTCGGGAGCATTTAAACTGAAACTTTCATATCGTCACTCTCTTTTTTTCCCCGCCATTTATCCCACCGAAATGCGTTTAGAGGCATCGAGCCTGGCCGAACCTACGACGAGCGTGGAAAAAAGGCCGTCTTGGTGCCGAGAATCAAACATTAGAAAAAAAAAATTATTTATAGCTTAACTTATGTTTTTCACGGTTATAGAAGTCTCTTAAACCTAGTTCCTATAGGAATATTTAAATATCGTCTCCGTTTTTAACGTAACACAAGTTTATATACTACAGTATTTGATCGATGACAACAAGAAATCGATCTATTTATCTATCTATATGTAGATACTGTATATGTTCATTTTTACTTTAAAAATATTATTATATTACAATATCAATTAGTTTTTCTTTTTGTTCCCCCAAAAATTTCGAAAACCGATAGACCACATCCGGTACAAAAGGCCTAACGCGTGTTAACATTTCCGACTACATTCCGACGCTAGCTCCCCTAGTGGGAATTTAAGTTATTTTGAATGTTTTATTAATTTACTATTAAATCGAGAAACATACTCGAATTATATACGTAGGCGTATTAAGTTTATAATTACAATACTTAGAAAATTTAAAGTTATTTTTCCTCCGCGAGTTTGTTTGGTAATAGAGACACCGATCACGTGAACGCGCGTCACTTCCGTCAACAAAGTCATGCAGCTGTTATAAGCAAACAACGCAATACTCGATTCTGTCAAGCAAGTCGATCGTGATTGTTCGATGATGCCATTCATAGGCAGAGATTGGAGATCGCCAGGCGAAGCTTGGGTCAAAACGGAAGAAGGTTGGGAACGTAAAAAAATCTTAGAGAAATTGAACCGTACGGTGCAGCAAAGGTAATCAGCTGTTTGCCTCCTCCTTTTTATTTTCCTTTTCTATTCTACGGGTTAATAACAAAACGCGCTTTTGAACGAAATTATCTAAGCTCGGAGTTAAATTGAACATAAAACGACCATTGATATTCATTTTATGAGTTAGATTTATGACACGAAATTAGAGTAACGTTTAAAATACGTTGCATTAGGAGAAAGCCAGCGTGAGAAATGTGTATTATACGTCTATATATTATTAATTGTTACTTAAAATAATAGGAAACAAAGAAAATTTAATGAACTGTAACGAGAACGATATAGTAAGTACAACCTACGCTATGCTCAGTAGACAGGTTTCGTATCTGACCTTGTCCAGCCAATCTCTAAACCGTTCTGCATTGTAACTGCTGCTAGGTTAACATTAATAAAATATCGTTTTGTCTCTGTAAACAAAATATGCCGTCTCGAAATTCCTGCCCAAACGGCTAATAGTCGTTTAAAAACGGCAAAAATAAATTTACTTTACTAAAAAATTTCTTAATTATACTTGTTTTTATTGATAATTGCGAAGCTTAAAGCATTTCGAGTAAATGGAGTATAGCGAATATAGCGAAAAAGCTGTATGCGATCGGTTTTTTTTTAAAATTTGAATCTAATTTTAGATTTAATAACTAATTTTTAAACTAGGAATTTTTTCACATATTTTAAATTATGTTTCTATTTACCTGGAAATTATAAAAAAGTGCTAAAAAGCAACAGAAAGTTTATTGCTAAAAAATTCTTTAGTGTAACTAAAACTGTGAATTATAAGTCTTGTGTATATATATATAAACATCTACTTTGAAAGGAAGACTTATATACAGTATATAATGTGGAGTAAAAGTTAAAAGTATGTTTATTTTGAGCAAGAATCGTTTAAAAATTAACTAAAAACATTAAGCTTATTTAATCTTTTTAATGATTTAATTTCCTAAAAATATAGTTTAATTCGGTGCAAAATATGTTTTTGTAAAGAAAATATCGGCACTTTAATTTAAATTTAAAAAACTTTTTAAACTTTCCCTTCTTGTCATTTTTTTTTCTTTTTGAATGGGTGATGTAATTTAGTTTAGTTTTTAAAAAATATAAGCATATAAGAAAACTGGTTTTATTTAGGAAATTTGTAGAGTATTTCGAAGCTAGATATACGCGTGATGTTTTTAAGAGACTAAAGGAAGAAAAACCTAAATATTGTTTGTTTTAAGGATATTTGTTTATTTACCTGAATTGCAATATTTTTTCCTGAATGGAGTTTTAGTTGCTATGCAACTGTCTCCAGTGGAATAGACGTATAATACATTCATAAAATATAGAAAAATATTATTATTCTATAGTTTTTTTTATTATTAAAATACCAAAGAGAAATATTAAATTATATGTTGAAATCCTGAGCAATAATTATTGCATTCCAAAATGAAAACCAGATTACTGTATATTTAAAAACTTTAGTTTTGATTTATAAATTTTTATAAGTTTAGAAAAATAAGTTTCAGAATATGTAGTTAGGTTTAGAAAAATATAATAATCATGATATCCATTTTTGAAAAAAGAGAAAAATTTTAAAATAAATTAGAAGAAATAATTCTAGATACATTTTAAGTTTCTTCATTTGGGTAAGAAATATTCGCATAATTTTTATAAATTTATTTGTAGTAAATTGTTTAGTTAAATACAATACCACTGTATTTGACTAAAGTGATTTTGATATTCTCTGTATTAATTAACTGTGTTAATCAAGGGATTCCTGTATATATGTATTCAGTGTCTGGTTTACCATTAAGCTAAATAAGCTAAAGCTTTAATTACATCCATCCAACAAACAAAGCAATAATAAATACAAATACGTGCATTTAGCTTGGAACCTCAGCTTTTGAGGGGCCTCTAAATTTTTATATTACAGTATATTTTGTTTAATTAATTTACATTGTGCACTGTGCACATCTTAAAGTTAAATAATTTAATAAAGACTTTATTATGTATTAATAACCTATGTAAATAAACGTATGTGTCTTTTTTGTACAATTAAAAAAAGATTGGGAAAGGGGCCTCAATTTTTTGTTAGCTTAGAGTGTAAAAAATATAAATCTGGCACTATATATATTACATATGTATCCCTTGACAGTTATATATATATGTTTTTTTATATAATGTATTTACAATACCCTTTTTCATAGCTTGTAACCCCTCCTTTTTATAATATGCAGGCACTGCTGTGCCAGAGACATTGAGGCAATATATGACTTCATCCAGATGACAGGCAATAACTTTTGAGTGGTCTGACATTAACCTCATATTAATGTGCAGAGATATACATGTGGCACTAATATATTCAAAGGGAAGATCTATCCTGTTGTATAAAGGTACTAAGTAAGTGCCTAAGTGCCTGGAAGAGTGATTTCAGCCTCGAATCTCAAATTTTGAATTGCTTTATAAAAGGAGCCCGAATGTATTCTTCTTATTCAGGAATGACAAATCCTATGGATGAAACTATTCTTCCAGGCATTTACTCAATACCTTTATATGACAATAGAATAGATCATCCCTTTGGATATATTGATATAATGTGTAGATCTCTGCATACCAAATCAAAAAACATCAAGACTCAATTAGAAAATGCATGACTACAATTAACTTTGTGATATTGGTACACTGGGAAAATATGTATAGAGCATGCCAAACAGCTTAAATATAAAATTCTACATTCTGCTATATTGCTATATTGCTATAAAAAATTCTACATTCTGCTATATTGCTGTGAAATGTGCAAAACTAAAAATAAAAAAAAAAAAAAAAACAAAAATAGTAGCAGAAATGCATGTTATATTTTGTTTCTTTAGAACTCAAACCAGGATTTCCAAGCACTCAATATTGTGTTTAGGTCCTTGTAGTTGACAGAATTCTTGCGTGTTGATATATAGATTACAAGGGCCTCCACGTTTCTAAGGTGGTTCTTGTTTCACAAATGCTTGGTAATCTCACAATGAACCTTGGACCAAATCATTTAATGTGTAAGCAGCCAGGGGTGTAGAGGGGAGTGACTTTTTAATGGCATACTTATATTCCTTTAACTGTGAAGTTAAGGATTGTATGATAGTTCCCATATATACCAAATTGTGTGCTACCTTGTCATTTGTGATGGGTACTGTGTAGATGTTCAAAATTCAAAGGATCCACTGAGTCTTTACTATTCCACAGGAGTTTATAAACTCCTTTTTGTACACTATTTCCATGCCTGTACCTCTCCCAATTTCCTTAAGTCTGGTCTACTCATGACATTTTACTTGATCATGTAAAACATATCAGACAAAATGTTGTGACAAAATGCTCTTGATTAACCATCTTCTATTGATGGCCACATGGCCAAACAGTCAAGGAGGCAGCCTGCCACTCTGGGAATCCAGGATTGAATCTGGATGGCTCTAAAAAGCCCCAGGAATTTTTCAGGTGGTGGTCTGTCTGGATATGTCAGGCCTGTCCCTCACCACCTGGCTGCTCCATTGTGGGCTTGGCCAAATCCATAATTGGCTTGCTGAAAGAAGGCCCTCTTAGTGTCCACAGGGTGGAAAGAGTTATAAAAAAAAAACCCATCTTCTATACCACCATAAACAATGAATAACTTTTTTGTTCTTAATTTCATTAGACAATGAAATAATGCTTAAAGCAACTAATACGTCATCTATGGTTTTAATGAAGTGGAGAGAAAGATGGAAGCGAAAAATGTATGTAGTGTGATCATGAGTTTTCGTTCAGTTTTATCTGATATTTTACCTGATCAAGTAAAACATTCATCAAGACGTTATGTGTAGACCAGGCTTTAAACATGTTCCTGAGATAGCAGCTGTAAACAATGTACCCTATGAACTAATGATCGGTGTGCGACTGGTCATTGGTTCATAGGGCATGTTGTTTACTACACCCTGGTGTTGTGTGTTGTTGTTTACTATAGAGCAGCTGTACTTGACCATTCTATAGTCCACTCTGGTAATGTCATATCTATCCAAAGCTAGGGTGTTCTAGAAGTTGTCAGAGATTGTATGATCCTAGGATGATAAGCAAGATGTCCCTGAGTGTTTTAATCTTCCTGTCTATTAATGTCAAGTAGTGGGTTGTCCTTCTAATCAAGGCTTTGAAAATGGTTAGTTGTAGTATAATGGGTCACATGAGACCCAAGGAATAGAGATTGTATGAGGGTTTTCAAAAATCTTTGTTTTGATTCCATCATCATTGAGTATAATAAAAATATCCAAAAAGTGGATATTACAATCACTGTCCTGTTCCAAGAGCAGTTTTATCCATATGGATTAGTGTTGACACAAATCAAGAATTCCTGTATATCAGGCTTTTTGTTCTGAAAGATAAGCATGTCATCTATGTATCTAATTTAAATTTAGATGCTTTATTTTGGCAGAAAGGACTTCAACAATGATGTTAAAATCACCTTGCAAAGGGTCTTGGATAGGGACTGCCCAAGGACAAACTTCTCTTGCAAGTTTGTGGTTCCACCAAACTGGAAAAATGAAGAGTATGTCATCAGGTTCACCAGCTCCAGAACTTGCCTATGAATGGTAGAAGAGAGGTTAACTTGCTCTAAAACAGGTAGTTCCTAAGATAGCAAAGGCAGGGTGTCAGGTGAATAAATAGATACAATGCCTCATAAGTCAAAGACAGTAACATATCCATCATTGAGTAGTGTGAGGTTCTGTAATTTTTTTTTAGTTTTGACTATTTTATAGCAACATAACAGATTTGTAAAATTTTATATTCAATTTGGTATTTGCATGCTTTTGTTCTATCTCCATTAACATTTGAAAACATTTGAGTTTTGGAACATAAACCTGATGATTCCAGTCATTAAATATGACCAAAAACATTAAATTCTTTTACAGATTAATAAAACTATTTTTGCTACTACACAAAGTTGTATGTGAATGATTGAGTGTTTAATATCATTAATTAATACTGATAATTCTCTGAAGATCTTAGAA